GTGTAAAACTTGTTTCAAAACTGCAAAAAAGATTTTCAAAAATTTTTTCCGTACTTCCTCTCAGGCACTATGTAAGTCAAAACGTTCCCGTACTCTCCTGCAGGGTCCGGAACTGAAGCAGGTTTTGTTGTTTTTAAAGGACTATTTTGTATAAGCTAGGCAAAGATCGAATACGGATCCTCCCGACCAAAAGAAGCAGTGTAGAGGGCTGATATTTTGGATGAAGATATATCGCTATCAGTTCTATCTCTGGGTAAGATTTCAGCATTCGATCTAAATCCAATCACGAGTTATAGGGCACCGAACTTACCCCAAAAATTCATTTTCTGGCATATTAGATGACTCATAACTAACCAAAGGTTGAATGTTTCGAGCTGAAATTTTTGTTATGGTTAGAACTGACAGAGATATAGTACCACAGAAAAGATCAGCTCAATCACATCGACCGTTGTTGAGATATAGTGCTAACAAAACCGATCCACGGGAAACGATGATTTTCCGGGCTTCTCGTAGAATCCCCATCAAAAATCGTAGGTGCAATATTTTTTGAAAAGGATTGTGCCAAACATCATGAAACTCTTTGCTCTACAAGATGATATCAAATTGAGCAGAATCCGAGAACATCAATTGAGCAGCATAATTATAAATCGCTCGTGGCTTACGCGGAATGGCTCTTAAACAATGTGGCACTTTATATGCATGGACAGAACCATTTTCTGACGATAAATCAAAAATGGCTTCGTTAGTTTTCTACACAACCCAGATTCATGCAGACGTTTATCGAGATTTGTGTGTTTTACTCAGTACAAAGGAAAAAAAAGGTACCGTATGAAACTTAAAAAGGGTTTGGACATTTGCTACCAATTCGAAACCCTTGTTAGGTTTCGTAATCGAGGTTTCGGACGAAACCATTGCGTATATCTGAAAAGAAGGGCTTCGTACAGACTACAATATAATAACGCCCAATTCATGCACTTCCATTCAACTTCAATATCTATTGACCTATAAGTACGACCAATTTTACTCTACACGTATACCTAACCCGTTCCTCTTATGCCTGAATCTTTAAATCTACGCCTTACCCCTTAAAACTATTACTATGCTCTATATCTATGCCTCAACCCTTACAACTATAGTAACCCCTTATAACTCTAACTTAACGCTTACAAGTATTACTAACCCCTTATGACTTACATAGATGCGAAAAATGTGATGGCAAAATGTTTCTTGCACAGTTCAAAAGTGTTAAAATTTCCCCATGGGCACTATAAGCAAGGGGAAACAGCGGACTTCAGTCCCTTGGAGTCACGTGAAGCCAAGTGGAGTCTTTCAATGACCTAATACTTCTGCGGCTCAAACCCATTTATTTTCCCAGAAACGGAATGTTAGATCTACCGTCTTGTGAAAAATTTCTCAATAACAGTGCATTACTGCTTAGCCCTTTTTGAATTTATTTTCCCAAACAGGACACTTGTTCTAAATATGGGACAAATTTCCTACATATCCGAACAAAAATGTTGCATTTTGAGAATTTTGGGAAAATTCATTCAATTTTCGGAATAAAAGTGTCCTGTTATTCGAAACTATGCTCAAATGGTCTGAGCACTAGTGTTCCGTTTTTAGGAAATGAATAGGCTCTCTGACTCCAGATGCCGTTAGGAGTCAAGTGGAGTTATGGAGTCTGCTGTTTTTCGGTGATCATTCACCGTAAGCTAGGAACAAGGGACATACTGAAGGAACGAAAAAATGATGGAAAAGCCATCACAAAGGACAACGAAAAGAACAAAATTAGTCGTTTTAATGGTGTCACCCGAGTCGATGAGAATAGAAAAGTCGCTAATTGTTTACCGTAAAACGCATTTCAGTACAGAGGCAGTTACTTCGGGCAATAGTCACTTGAAAATGATTCTAGGTACTTACTGCTAAGCTCACAGAGTATAGCCTTTTACTATAGTATGGATTACGTTTTTAAGGTTGGACTTTGCTATGTGAGAAAAACAAAACTATTTTACGAAACATTCCAGTCTCAGATAATTCAAGTTCATTTTGAAACTATTTAAACGTTATAAAACTCTACAGTTTAAACTAAAGCGCATCCTCCATTTAAATCAAAATTGAGGACTGTTTCTCTTTCTATACAGCTGCTTTGTTTCAGAATGAAAGATATTTTTCGTTGGTTGACTATCTTGAGAGTAATATCTTGACTGTTTTACTTTGTTTTCAGCTATCGTCATGCAGTCATCGTCTGAAATACCGGAGCAATTGTCTGTTGACGACGAAATTATGAAGCAACATGCCTGCCAACAGCAAGACCAAGATCGGCCGGTCACCACTTCACCAGAAAACTACAACCGTATGTATAAACCTGTTCGAAATGACAACCCAGAATTATTTTTCAAAGATCTTGGATTCCGGGAGGACACAATTAAATCAATCGTGAAGGCCAGACCGGACCTCGACATGTATTCGAATTATGACCTTTTTACCATTCTCTCCGATATACATGACAAACTCAGTTTGTCTGCACCTCATAAACTGGTCATTAATCAGCCAACTGACCTGATCTCTTCTTTCGTTGCGCTTGGCTTCACCGAGAAGTGGTCGAAGAGGTATGCATCAATAGTAGGCGATGGCTATGCTGATCAGCTCGTCTTACAGACGATCTATACATGCCTGTCAGAACGTTTATTCACTGTTTGGACAACAGACTCTTATCCTAGTGTTCCGCAGCCTTACATGGAAAATCAATGGCTGTCGGCTTCAGACGGCAGTTCTCCATGTCATATTCGCAATCAGATGCGTTCTGAGTTTAGTGAGTTAGGAAAAAGTGAAGACGAAATCATGCTCAATAAGCTCAAAGCCGAACACACAGATACGTCAAAAGGAGATAAACTATGGTTTCACGCGACAAGCTGGGATAAAGCACAAGGTATTATACAGTCGGGTCCACGCTTTTATCCTACTGCATCCGACTTTTCCAAAGATGGTGCGTTTTATCTGAATGACAACTACATTGACTGCTATGACTTCCTAAAACGCCGAAAATTTGCAGGGAACCATGCTATGCTTATTTACCAATTTGAACCTGACACATTGGAGAAACGCGGCACAAATCTCGATGTTTTCGACGAATGGCGAAGCCACGTGTTCGACTGCCTCACGGGCAAACGTAATAGCAAGGGGAAGCACTGGTATTATGGTGCTCAATGTTCCAGGCCTGGCGCAGTTAAACACAAAAGCGAAGTGACACGTCGAATGTTGAACGATACCAAGTATGCCATGCAACTAGCCATTGTTCATGTGGAAATGTGCGCGAAAGTGCATGACTGCTTAATTGGTTGTGTATTTTATCAAAATCTAAATTGCTCGGATCCATCGAACCAGAATGAATCATCTCCAACTTCAGGCGATGCTTCCGGTCGCAACCTTGACAACACACAGCTACTGGAAGCTCAGCCTAATAGGGCAAATTTACTGCCCCCTTGTCAACAAGACCGAATGGAGTCAGACCGCGATTCAGAGAATAATGCCTCTGGTACTCAGAGGGCAGAGAAACAACCGCTTTTGGACAACAAAGCTTCATATCAAACCAAAAGTTGTCATAATACTGATAAACTATCCAGTGATGATAAAGAAGAGCAAGACAGTTCAAGCCAAAATCCAGAAAATGATTCATCCGATATTCCAAAGAATGAGAACCGCAATCTTAATATTAAAGAAGAACAGACGACTTCCATGAGCAAGAAAGATTGTAAAAGAAGTGGAAAACGTTCAAATCGAAAATAAGTTTTTTCGCATCGAATTCAATTATTTTTTTCATTCATGACTTTTCTATCTGTGTAGTTACGTCAATAAAATAAAAGAGCACCAATGAGCATCACATTAGACTGTTAAAAAAAGCGTATTCTGGAAAAACCGACGTAAACAGGTTTCCGAATCCTCAGAAATCCTATCTTGAGGGTGAGTTTAACAGAATTAACTACTACTATCCTGATTGTAACTCAGTTAAGAGGATCATTAGGTGGCTTAAAATGATCTACATAAGAACTAGACTCAATTTAAATAAATGATACTAATTGTCAATCACGATCACGAATTTTCGTAGCTCAAATTCATAGTCACGATCACGAGTATTACATAGTGTTTGGAGGCATAAAAAAGTTTTTGCCATTGTGACGTGACATCTGTCTCAGAGATTGGCAGCTCCGATTCCAGTGCGTCCGCTCCATGGAGCTAGCCCCACCATACGTCCATTTTTCGCTTTATTGTTTCGTGAACAAAGATGAAAGAATCAGTAAGAGAAAAGCTCGTCATCGACTACCCAGGTCGATTCTCGTGCGAAAGTCGAGGCACGACTCGCGCTAAAAAATCGCGGCGCGAACGCGCTACGCGATTGCTATAAGACTCGCGAAATACGACGCGGATTTAGCGATCGCTATAAAGTCTTGCTATAGTGATTCTCGCGGCAAGATCTCGCTAGTTATATAAGAAAATCGCGTTCTGGCGGTGCGAGTCGCGCCTTGTTTTTAAAATCGCGACATGAGTTAGCAAGAGTCGCGCTCCGAATCCTCTTATGCAGACCGATTCTACAAGAATTCGGTATAATTAATTAACTTCTGGGTAAGTCCTCAAAAGTCAAAGGAAAGGACGTATTATTAGATAAAAAAAGTCAATAATGACAGAATTCAAGAAAGATTTCAACCGTGTTTTTGTTTATTTATTTTTCTAGTGCTTGGTTTACTACTTGGTTTCTTTTCTCTTTCTCTTTTCATTTGTATACGTTATCAATAAACAACTTATCGATAAAAACAATAACTTTCATGCAAACGTCTAAAAGTACTTCCTTAAGATACAGTAAGATCGGTTTTCAGTATAAGAGTGAACGACAACACATTCTTATATTTCGAGGATCCTCATAGAGAATCTCTTATCGGACCGAAAGGTAACAAACCCTTTTAGTTTTATCAAGAAAAAACTTGTCCTAAACGGAACATATTCCTTTATTTTTTTTGGACATAGTGAACAATGTGTTTCAGTATATGTACCCCTGAATTCTAGTAGATGAGAGTGCATTCTGCTATTTTACTTGTTTTTTGTTTACACACCAGCTTACATAGTAACGGAACATGTTCAGAGAACACTTCGAGTTTCTGAATCCATATTGGTCGAAAATGGCCCAATAGGAAAAAAAGAACATACTTCAAGTATGCCAAACTTGCATTGGAGCATGGTTAAAACACACTTCATTCGCGTTCTTTTGCCGCTAGTCAGCCAATGGCTGAAGGATGTTTAGACTGCGGATGAAGTGTGTTCTTTCTATACTTAAAGTGTATGCTTTTCTGGCAGTGTAGAAACTCATACTACTATAAGTTTAAGCACTTTGAGCATAATGTTCGAAGTTTTGTACACTGTTTTGAAGAAGGAGCGCACCAAGCGAGAGTAAAGTGTATATGCATTATGTATTTTAGGAATACACCTTAATTTTCCATGGATACACTCTGTAAAAAGTAAATTTCAGCTTAGGAAAGTGTACTCATACCTTCTGCTACTTCGAATTGTTGCTAAAACACTGACTTTTTCGCGTTGAAAGAGTTTCACCAGATTTTATAACAAAAATGAAGCAATCAAGGCATTGCATCTTCACTACCCAGTAAAAAATTCACGATCCGTTTTCCACACACTTATTCTAGATCTGACACTCGTTTGTTCTAGAACTTCGCGTGTTTTTTATTTACATATTTGAAATTTTATCCGCCATTTTATTTTTCCTTTTTAAAGACTTTTACAAGGAAATAACGTTTTTCAGTTAGCTAAGATCAATTTTTTGACTTAAGTCATACTTAGAGTACCTATTCGGTCTCCTAAGTTAAGCAAAATATTAAGTCTGACTTAAGTCGAAAATCCTACTTAAGTTTTTCGATTTTTTATCTTTTTTGATCTAAGTTTTACTGAAGTCATTTTTTCACTTAAGTTAGACTTAAGTTTTTTGATGAAACTGGCCCCTGGCACTACCTTCTCGTAGTGTTTTCAGTGAGATTTTTTCGCACAGCGTATGCGCGCACTGTTTTTCCAGCTGAAGTGTGTCGAGATAATCTGATTTCTTCGAGAAAGGTAGGCAGATTCTACAAGAAAAACACGGTAGCACTTAAAGATAAGAACATCTTTTTTTCGTCGGGATCTTTCTTGCATCTAAGGAGCTTAGTCACAGGTTCTAGTGTTAAATATCTTTGCTGGAAGGCTAGGGTCTAAAGATGGACTAGAGGTCGTTTCTGTTGATGTGTTTTCATTCTTTTAGATCTATTGGTTCTGCGGTTCCTCATGAGAGCTTTCCGCAAAAGTTTATTTGTTTGGTTTCAAAATTCAGAAATATGGAACATTCAAATTTAAAAAGCTGTAAAATCTATTTTAAGAACCAAAGAAAGAAACTTTTGAAAATGCTCTGATGAGGAACTCTAGAACTGGATTCTGAACACTCTTCGTACTCGCAGTTTTGCTCCAAAATGTTTAGGCGGCCTTAGATATATTATGACCAAGTGACTATCACATTAACATGCAGTTTTTCTATTTTGTCCGAGTCAAGAACTTGTGTGAAAGTAACAAGACTTCTGATATTTGAGAGTGAAAGTACTTAGTTTCTGTGGCTATGAGAAATTTGAATCTTAATGCGGACTTTTTAAAATGAATAAAACCGCGCGAATATATGTTTTCACTAAAGTTAGGTTCAAAAAAAGCACACTCTGTTCTTTTCCTATTCGTTGGCTTCTGTGAATGCTTAGGGTTGATATGTTTTTGAAAAGAATATTATTCCAAATAACTGAAATATTCACGTTACATTCTCTAAGCAAAGTAAAGCGAACAAATCAGCTTTGAATGGTTTCGCTTAAATAATTATTTAATTCTCAAAACAAAAGTCCGTTTTTCCGAGATCTTTTATGCAGAAACAGACAAATTCATTTTTCTAAGATCTTTTCTGTCTTCTTTTTATATGCGGGATCCATTCTGCTAATTTGTCCAGGTCGCTTATTTTCTCGTCCAATAAATATACAGTTTTTCGAGAATTAAATTCACTACCGTTTGGCATATAATGGAAATTTTCATATGGATAGGAAGCGATAGTAAACTGCATTAACATTATTATGTTTTAGATACATTCACCTACTGTTATGTAGTGAATCCTTTTATTAAAAGTACTGTACAATGTGACTACATACCGTACACTGAGGGAAACAGTCAGTATTTATAGGTTATAGAGAGAACAGAAGAGAAGAGAAAATCGTACCATACAAATAACTTCACACAGTTAAACAATGAGGAGAATATCACACCATAAAAGAATGTTTAAACAATGAATAGAATATCGATACATATCGAACCACACATGCGTACATGGTAAAGAAAATGAAAACTAAAACTGTTCTTCGGAGCGCCCTTTACACTTCCTTAATTTGGTTTCACAGACTCAACAATAGTGTAGTCATACTAACATTATGAGCGATTTTTTAGGAAGCACGAAAATGTCAGTGTGCCACAGTCGATTTTCAGAAGACATTTTATTGGCGGACTCTTTTGTCAAACATTTGCCGCTCAGGGGCTAGTGGTAAGGTTATTCACTTCAGCGTTCTGTTCAAGAGACGAGTTGATCTTGGGTGGATGCATAATATCGAGTTGCTTGTCAGCAAGATCATCCGGTGGATCTGATGGGTAACACGATAAGCAATCAGCTACGCAATTACGTTTACCAGAGACATGTTTCACGTCAAAGGTGTATTCTTGTAATTGTAATGACTATCTTTCTAAGCGTCCATTGTGTGATGATTGTTTATTGAGCCAACACAGTGGGTAGTGATCAGTGAATACTGTGAAGTCCTCTTCATATAAATATGGGTGTAATTTCTTAATGCACCACACTATTGCCAGGCACTCCTTTTCCACTGTTGAATATTTCTTCTCCTGTGGTGTTAATGATCTGGATAAATAGGTAATTGATCTAATCCCGTGTTTTGTAATCTGATTTAACACACCACCAATCCCAACGTCTCTGGCATCGATACTTAATTGGAGCTTTGAATGTCCGTCGGGAAATGTCAATAATGGATATTGTGATAATTTTGACTTTAGTGTCTCAAATGCAATTTGACATTCAGTTGTCCAGGTAAAGTCGTTTGTTGGTCCATGACGTTTCTTCCCAAATTCATTTTTCTTAAATTCATGCAGAGGTGCTGCAATTGTGGCAAATTGTGGAATGAAGCGGCGATAAAACTGAGCTAGTTGTACAAATGAATACGCATCCTCTGCTGATTTGGGTGTCGAAAAATCAATAGTTTTACGTACATTCGCTGTCATGGGCTTAATACCATTTTGCGTAATTCTAAAACCTAAATAGTCCAATTCCTTCTTGGCTAATGCACATTTTTTGACATTTAATTTAACGTTGGCTGTATTCAATGCACCTAGTACTTCTTCAATATCTGTAACATGCTGTTTGAAAGATGTTGAGTACACAATTATATCATCTAAATACACCAGACACTTATGCCAGCGTAAATCACCTAGAACACTATTGATAATTCGTTGAAATGTTGATGGCGCGTTTGATAACCCGTATGGCATAACATTAAAATCATAAATACCTTCACTTGTAACGAATGTGGTTTTTTGCCTATCTTTTTCATCAATTTCAACTTGCCACTAACCTTGTTTCAAATCTAGACAAGTAAAATATTTGGCACCGCCTAATATGTCGATAATATCGTTAATCAATGGTAGAGGGTACACATCTCGTTCGGTAATAGAATTTAGTTTGCAATAATCCACACAAAATCTTGGTGAACCATCCTTTTTCTTCACAATAACCACCGGGCTTGACCAGGGGCTTGTACTTGGACGAATGATGCGGTTGTCTAGCATTTCCTTTACTTGGTCGTTTATAATTTGTTTCTCTTTGGGTGATCTTCGATATGACGGCTGTTGTATTGGGTGATGGTGCGGTTTGATGATGATCTAATGCTTAATGTTTGTTTTAATCGTTGTTGTTGAGGACGTATCGAATACCGTTTGATGCTTTAATAAGACTGGTTGTAATTGTTGTTGCTTGTCAACTGGTAAATGTGCCAATAGGTTGGTAATGCGTGTTGTAATGGATGAAAATGCTTTAGGTGAGATAGCTAGTGTTTGTTGATTCCTACGTGGGTCCATATTAATGTAACAACAGTTGTCATTGCCTTGGTATCTAATCTGACCTAAGTGTGTACCTTTTCTAATTTTCTTAACTGCTTTTGTAGTATTCAATAATGCCAGAGTTGTGATGTTGTTTTATATTTTCAATAAAGCATGTGGTGCTATTACATGTTGTTTATTGTTCATTTTTAATGATGGAATAAATATTGCTGTCATCATTGGTGGTGCTGATGTTGCTGTAGAATGCGATAGGACTCAGAAACGTGTTTTAAAATAAAGTAAACCAGAGATTACATCACTTTTCGTCTAAGAGTTTTACATACATATGTGTCCCCTCTTAAATACATACCTAAACGATACCCATCGACAAAACAATCAGGTGTCATTTGCAATGACAAATACTCGATCGATGGACAATTGTTTACAAAGAATTCAATCGTATTATAATTCACCTTGCGAAAAGTTGAATCAAAAACAAATCGCTTCAATTGCATTAACTGAATATATGTCGGTATATTCTCGGCCTTTGCTGGTTTAGCATCAAATTGAACAACAAGCTTCACATTTAAATACTCAATTGACGGTACATGTTGCACTAGTGTAACCATATCACAGACATCACGCACTCTGACCGTCAGTTTTTTCAAATTAGTAGACAATCCCATAGAATTCTCGTATGGTGTAAACGTTAAGTTTCTGATTGATAATTTTTCAATTTGACGTTGAGATTGAATTATATATTTACAAATATCTTGTGAAATATTTTGAGCGCAATTAATATTATGACTTGTAAGCATAAAAGTCATTTTTAAACTCGACAAATGTTGAAATGATGATATTGAATATATCTTGCCATCGATGACGTTGATTATTGTGACTGATTGCAATAACGGGAATCGATGCATTTGTTTGATGATTAATCCATGTTCTTTATCGTCAAGTTTAAGTGATCTAATATGCTTGCAAATTCTTGGTAATATAGTTCGCTTTAATTCATTAAGATCATATGGAATAGTTATATTTAAATGACACGTATAAGGGTAAATGAGTTGATCGAAACGAGAAGTTAGATTATTAAATGGATAGACAATATCATACCCTTTCAGATACACAAAAATGTAGTTAAGAAAAATTTCATTGGGTAATTGTTCCATCTAAAGAGCAAGTTTGATTTCACATGAATTATTCAGAAAATAAACGAGAGTCTTTATGATACTCAATATATACTACTTGTTCGAGGCATGAAGTGCGACCTACCATAGTTTAATCAGGTAAAATACAAGTTATGATGAAGATAGAAAAAACAAGAAGGACAACGAAGTGAGCTCACATGATGGGATGAAGGAAATATCGTTTGAAAAAACTAACTGCTTGTTTCTTTCGTCTTTTCCCGAGATACGTTAATTTCGTTGCGGAAGAATACGTCACTACGATCTTACCGGTTTCTAAAACATGTCACGAAGACAGACAGAAAAAGAAGAAAAAGAAAAAATTCAGTTCATAACAGTAACATCAGATCATTGTGTAATTAGAATAATTTTCGTTTCCATTGGAATAGATTCACTTCTTTCGTTCATACGAACGAAATATCGGAAAGAAATGAAAGCACTATGCTAGACATCGAACAAAGATGGGAAATGTAAGAAAATGCATTTACAATTTCTTACATTTTACATTCTTTCCCAGCTGACCAAAGGAAAAGAGAACGTAAAAGAAACACGTCTCTATTATTCTCTTTCCGTTGTATATATAGAGTCGTTTGTCGCAATTAGATCACAAAAAATTACAAGTTGACTCTTTTCTAATTTTTGAAGCTATTTCTAAACGTGGAAAAACTATTTTCAGTTTCCCGAGTAGAAGAGAGTCAGGGCTATCGATCTATGTAAAAATATTTAAGATTCGCTTGCTCACAACCGTTTTCTACAGAATCTAGTAAAGATTCCACTAATTTTTTATCGCCACAGATTACTCAAGATGTATTTCGACTCTGAGGACCTAGCTGGATGCTTCTAATCTGTTGCGGCTTGCAAAACCTCTTGTATCTAGCCAGAAATCGGAGATTTTCAAAAAAATCTTCGAGTAACTTAGCTTCATCAGAAAGGGATCTCGAGTCTCGTAGTTAGTCCTGTCTATTCCAAATTAGAACACGCCGTGCATTTTCTATTCCTAAATAGGGCACGTCCATACAATTTTCATGGAGGCATGGGGATTTTCAATCAAGTTGAAGAAAAAAGTTTTTTTTGCTTACAAAGTTCAATGAAACCTTCAAAATTTTATATAGAAATACTCAGAAGAGTCTGCCGAATCGAACCATATAACTTTTCACGGAAAAAGATCACTTTTTCGTGCACTTATTGTGGGATTATTGCGAGTATATCCGTCTTCAACTTTTTTCCCGTTCCAAATTAGAGCACGACGTGGATTTTCTATTCCTAAATAGAACACGCCCATACAAATACATGGACTTTTTAAGTAAAGTCAGAAAAAAAGATGTGGACGCTACCTGAAGTACAAAAGCAAGGCATATGTTTGTGTAACAAAATATGTCCAGAAAAATCAGGACTATGAGTAGTGAAAAACTGAAGTCTCAGAGACGAAGTTTTTCTATACTTTTGCCTTCTATATAATTCTACTAATTATTCCAAGGTGGTTATTCCAAGTAAATCTGTTTTCTAAAGGCATAAATATCGAATTTTGCCATTTTCAGCTATTTATAGACTAACTACGAGACTCGAGATCCCTTTCTGATGAAGCTAAGTTAGTCCAAGATTTTTAGAAGAAAAATTAGTAGAATTATAGAGAAGGCAAAAGTATAGAAAAACTTCGTTCAACTTACGAGGGAAGGCCACCAACTGCCCCATCGCTTTTGGCTTAAAACCTAGTGGACAATAGGTAA